TGAAGCAAAGGGGTGGTTGACCTTCGTGTGTAGTAGGCTTGACCCTTCAAGTCATGATCACACAGTTCCTATTCCTCGTGCAGTGTTAGTAGCTTCCATTATGGCTGGTTTTCCTCTGAATGTGGGCAACATCATGTCAAGAGTGATTTCTACGGTAGGGCAGGAGACAAACACAAACTACCCCTTCCCAAACACTCTTTCCCTGTACTTCAGAGAGTTGAAGGTAAAGAAGAAGAAATTTGATGTTCAGGTAGATCCAGTGGCCCCCTACTCATGGTACAGTCAGTTGGGTCCCGACAACCCAAAGAGGTCCAAAAAGCCTCAGGCATCCACTTCCACCGCACCTGGCCAGTCTGAGGAGCCAGCGGTTATTGAGCAGTCCACTGAGCCTTCCACTATCCCAGCTACCAGTGAGACATTGCCTCAGGGTCCTTCTTCTAGTGCTGGTCCATCTACTGCAGCACACCAGGATGTCCCTTCCTCGAAGACCCACAGGTTCACTGCCCACCAGCTTGCTCAGTCTCTAGCCAGTTTGAACAACTGGATGTCAGCTGCGACATCCAAGTTGTCAAACTTGGCCACTGTAGTTTAGACACAGTCAACCCTTCCACAGTTGAGATCCCTCCTTCTATTGAGGAGACACTGAAGAAGATCCTGGCCAATCAGGAAAAGATGATGGAGACACAGAATGCCTTGGCTAAGGCAGTTGGAGCACACAGCACAGCACTGGGTAAACTTGCTAGGGAGCACAGGAAATTGAGGAAGCAGAAGGCCTCCAAGGAGTCAGNACACCATCGAGGTCAGACCTCGAAACTTCAAACACCAAGCGTTCAAGAGCAGAGGGAGATGAGTGTAGGCCATCCATGGCCTGAGAGGCCATGGATTCCGGTGAGTTTGAGGTTGAAAATGGTAGAAGACGATAGGGTTTCAAGAACCTTCGAGAGAGTTTTAGAGGGGGGGTGTTTGGAGGCGGCAGAGAGATGGGAAATGAACGAATTAGGGTAGTCGTTTGGGTTTAATTATGGAAGGGTGGATAGGGGCCGATGATCTCAGAGATCAACGGCCAGGATAAAAAGGGGTCTGGGTCGGGTAGTTTTAAACGGGTTAAGGGCTGGGTTAAATTGATTGGGCTGGTCCATTTGAGGTCCGAAATTGGGTTAATTGGGGAATTAATTTGGGCCATAATTGAAACGAAATGGGGCCATATTTTAAATAGCTAGTTTTTCCCTTTTAATTTATAAAAATAGTAAAAAATGATTTCGAAAACAAATTAAAAGTACTGGATCAGTTAATTAATATACAAATATTAATTTAAAAATATTGGAACCAATTTCATAATTATAAAATGTTGTTAATTCTGAAAATAGGCTAAAATTGCAATTATATGCAATTTGGCTTTTAAAATACCAAATAAATTTGTAGAAATGTATAAAAAATTACCCTAGCTATATTTTGGTATAAATATGAGAATAAAATAAGTTATTCACCAAAATGATATAAACCGACCCAAGGCGTAAGAGCCCAAGCGCCAGCCCATATTAAAGGTCGTGCCGAATCAACGTGTAAGAGCCAAAGAAGCCAGCTTAAAATACAAAAACCTAAGGGTCGATGAGCTCGAGTCGAAACCCGACTCGAAGACTGAGCCCGAAACGGTTAACTAAAAGCGCCTNTTCTTTAATCTCTGTTGCTATTATGGCTAGCTAAACCCATTAGCTAGGGTTGTGGCTCAACCCTAGTGTGGTTAATTAATGGGTGTGATTGTTTAGTGCTTGAATGATGTTGGGTGTTTGATATTTGGGTTGATTTTGTTTTAACTAGGATTTGGTGGTTGCAAACACTAAGTCTAGCTTAGTGATTCTTGACTCTTCTTGAGAAAGAGTGTCTATGACTCCAAAGTTAACCATACAAGGAATTGGGATGGACCCATGAGAATGGTAGTCCCAATTAACGGGTAAGACCTCGAGAGAGTGATTACCCAACTTGAACCCTAAGTTGCTTGGTTTGTTAGCCTACCCAATTGGTCTCGAGAGAGTCAATTGGGCAAAATCACTCTTTCTACCGAGAGGTGTGAGAGTGAGTGCTATCGTGCAACGGTTATATCATAAGCCCCATAATCATCATTCTCGTATTAGGAATCTCTACCCGTTAGTTGACCACCTTGGTAAATGTCACGACCTTAGTGCCTTTCTCTATCTTGCATACAATCTAGATTAAATCTCTTTGCATAATTTAGTTATAATTAGTAGTTGTTAAATTGTAGTTGATAATCACAAAAACCCAAAAATGATAGTAGATCAATTAGAAGCAAACACGCAATTCTAGGCTAAACAAATATCCAACTCCCTTTCTAGCTCCCTGTGGAAATTGACCCCGATACCACTATTGGGTAAAAGTATTAGCGCCCACTCTTCCTAAGGTTGAGTCCGCTGCGACCTAATCACGTTGCTGGCCTTTTTGCCCTGTTTTGGTCTTGTTCACTTTAGACTCCTTTATGAGTTGATTTTGAATTTATTTGGCTCGTTTCCCAATATTCCTGCAGGCAAGCACATTTCGTTAGTTTTCGGGAATACCTTTAATTTTTTTTAAGCTAAATAACAAGTACAAGAGAGCAAATAAGCGGTCAAAATCCCTACTTAGCAACTCCCCCAAACTTAAGCTTTTGCTTGTCCTCAAGCAAATAAGGCAATTTCCACCTTCACTAGAAAAAGGGATATTTCAGGTAGCCTAAGGTGAATCAATTACACATCAATTGGGACCAATAATTACCCACAACACATATGAATTATCAACAACGCAATGATTTGACCTTTTGAGTACAATAGTTCCAGTGTGACACTAGAGCATCAAGAGTTGACTCTATTCATCAAGGAAGCTCGCTCTTTCATGTAGGTCATTGTGGATCCCAAACTCCTCCTCCTCAATTCTCCATTAGCAAATCTCACTTTAGAATGTAACTCAAGGATTGTGAAAAGTTCGCTCATCTCTCTCAAAAGAACGTCACAAGTCCCGCTTCAAGTACATAAGCTTGCCCCTTATGTAAATCACCACTAATGTAAGCTCACTCAACTTGAAATTATGTAGGGATTTTGCGGGATGTAATGAAGGCCTTTGGACCAAGGTAGGACTTATTGGAATAGAATGGTTTCATCTTTCCTTAAGCACTCCATTTTTTCTTTTCGGCTCATACTTTGTCGACTCTTTGAGTCATTTTCTTCTTCCTTGGGGGAACTAGAGAGACGTAATGTCACTCTTACTTGATCATGACATTCATTTTTCTCCTTTTCTATTTACTTCGAACTTATCATTCTAATTTTCTTTTGAATTCCCTTCAACTCTTCACTTTATTCACTTTCTTTTTGGCCTTTTTCTTTTTGTTCTTTCTTTCTTTTCTTTACCTTCCCTTTTCTTCATTTCTTTCTCTTCTTTCTACCTTTTATCACTTCAAACTCCTCGTCTCTCCCCCAAACTTATATTTTTGCCAATTGTTTCTCAAGAATACTAAGGAAAGATTGGGTGCCAAGAGAGGGTCATTACAAAACGGGTAAAGATTTGTAACGTGGTTATTGAAAAAGAAAAAGGGCTTAGGCTCAAAGGGGTTGACTAGGGATATCACATTGGTAGGCTATGGAAGATTACAAATTTCAAATTGGATCAAGGAGAGCCAACAATCATTTCTCAAGCCAAGCTACACTTAGAATTTTGCCTAGAAACACATTTGGGGCAAGTTCTAGACCATTAGCATGGGTACTTGGACTTGTAACTAAACATCTCACCTCTCACGCTTTTGGATTGCTAAAAAGAACAGAGTCGAGGGCCCATAAAAATCCTAGCAAATATTAAGAATCACAAATGGCTCGACTTGAACTATTCGATGACTGCTTAAGTCAACACAAGAGTCAAAAGGGTCACAACTAAAGCTATTTTCTGCCAGCAACTTTGATAGGTTACAAGTACTTTACTTTATATTTTGATGATCTAACAAACTTACTCTCCAGAACCAAATAAGGAACATGTTGCACATTTACAAGACCTCAAGATCACAAGATCCCGGGATGGGATTCAGCGGGGAATATGATTCAACCCTTCAGATGTGGAAGGAACAGCTGAGGTACCAGGTCCCTACAAGTTCCCGAGGAGACTGCACGAAGTCAACTTTCCAGTTGGAAAGTTGCTGCCTGCACACGCTACTGTGCAGAACAGTGCTGCAGTCAACCTTCCACAGAAGACTTTTACCTACCTTGCTTGCATCATTGTAAGTGATGTCACACATGTATATATGCATGCAAGGGAGGTAAAATAAATCACTTGAACATTTGACAAGCTCATTAACGTGACTATCCAGTATGCAAGTTTTAAGGACTTCAAGAACAAAGAACAAAACAACTACGGACCAGTTCCCACATAGAGTTATTGTATGTCCTTAGTTGAGTTATAACTTTGTAATATTTCTTTAATTGTAATTCCTATCTAGCTTGTTTGGAAGTGTTCTATAGGAACCCATTTGTAACCCTTAAACCAGTGTGTTTGAGTCTTGGCTAGAGTTAGTCATGTTGTAAAGTCTTTGTAATAGAGTTATTACAAAGTGGTTTGTAATAGAGTATTACAAGTTAGTGAGAGATTAAGAGGTTAACTCCTAGGTTGCATAGGTAGTAATCTAAAAGTTGCTCAGTAGTGAAGTTGAAATCCTACAAGGGTAGGTCGTGGTTTTTAAACCCGTTGAGCTGGGAATTTTCCATGTAAAATTCCTCTTGCCATTTTATTACTGTTGTATGTGTGTGTACTGTTGGACCTGATAGAGAACCTGGTTCTCTATAGAGTTTGGTGGACCCTTATATTCTATTAATTGGTATCAGAGCAGGTTCTTTCTATCAGGTTAACCCCTAGAAAGGATCCTGATGGCTGCTCCTCCAAACTTTGAAGAAGGCCAGTCTACTTACAAACCACCTAGGTTCAATGGACAGTATTATGGATGGTGGAAAACTAGCATGCATGACTTCATCATGGATGAAGATTCTGGGCTATGGGATGTCATATGTGAAGGACCATTTGTTCCTACCAAAAACCTTGGTGACCCACCAGTAGTCATTCCCAAGACAAGGAAAGAATTCAATGATGCAGATAGAAAGGCCATAGAGAAGAACTTTCGTGCTAAGAAAATTCTGGTATGTGGTATTGGACCGGATGAATACAATATCAGCATGTCAGTCAGCCAAAGAAATCTGGGAAGCCCTGCAGACAGCTCATGAAGGAACAACACAAGTCAAGAAATCCATAATCGACATGCTCACAACTGAATACGAGCTCTTAAAGATGCAAGACAATGAATATGTCCAAGAAATGCGTACCCGGTTGACCTCCACCATTAATGAGCTTCACTCCCTTGGTGAAACTATTCCAAGAAACAAGCTGGTCAGAAAGATCCTAAACGTGCTACCCAGTTCTTGGGAAAGCAAAGTGAATGCCATTATAGAGGCAAAGGACCTGCAGGAGCTAACTATTGATGAACTTGTTGGCAATCTAAAGACATATGAGATGAAAAAGAAGAAAGACAGCGAAATAAGAGAGCCCAAGAAGGAGAAGAACCTGGTCCTCAAAACAGAAAACAACGAGTCAAGTGGTGAGATGGTGATATGGCATACCTAACAAGAAGATTTCAGAAGATGGTTCGCAGGAATGGAGGCATTCTAAAAAAGGGAAGTTCTAGCAAGCCAAAGAATTATGATCTCTGTCACAAATGTGGAAAGCCAGGACATTTCATCAAGGATTGCCCTCTCCTAAAGCAGGATCAGTACAAGAACAACTCTGACAAAGCAGCCAAAAGGAACCTGGTTCCTAATAGACGCTTCAATAGAAAAAACGCCGCTGACAATGTTGTGAAACAAGCTCTTGCTGCACGGGGAGATTCATCAAGCGAATCTGGAGAAGATGATGAACCAGGTAATAGCTTTATGATGGTAGTAGAAAGTGAATCAACCGAGTATGATTCAATTTTTGCTTTGATGGCCCAATCTGACGATGAAGATGACGATGATGATGATGAGGTAAATTTTCTAGATGTTCAAAGAAATCTAAAATCTTATTCTCCTAAGAAACTCATGTCTTTGGAAAATGTGCTAATCCATGCTTATCATAGTCTTGTAAATGACAGAGATGTCTTAACAGTTGAACTAGGAGAAGCAGAACAGTCTAGAGATGACCTAGTAATAGTTGCAGTCGATCTAAGAGAGTCAATTGAGAACCTGAAGAAAGTAAGAAATGTCTTAAAGAAAAGGATTAAAAATGTAGAACAAGAAGATGACCTTCTTGTGGTAGTAATGGACTTGAAGGAAACCATTGGGAAACCTACAATGAAAAGTAGGGATGAAAGTTATCAAAAAGGAAAGGAAGTTGCAAGTGAGGCACACATTAAGCTTGAAAATGAGCTAAAGACAGTGTAGTTTAGTCTGTGTGTCGAGCTTGAGAAAAACAAACAACTTCAAGAAGACCTAGGTAGAGTGAAGAGTGATCTTGAAAAATCACTCAAGTGGACCTGGTCCTCTGATGCTATCACTACCATGTACTCAAACAATGGGGGAAATAGGCGGAGGATTGGGTTTCAAAGGGAAAAGATCCCTTACAACCCTCATAGCAAGTACGTTACGATACCTGACACTTGGCTTTGCACCCACTGCAGTAAGAATGGGAATCTTAAAGAAAACTATAAGGCCAGATATCAGTCACAGCAGAAAAAAAAAAGCCTTTGCTGAAAAAGTAACTACTAGTAGAGAACCTGGTCCTTATTAAAAAATGCATAATGCCTGCATGGACCAAAAGATCCCTTATTCACCCCTTTCCTCATTACAAGGGACCCAAATTGGATTGGGTTCCTAAAGCTAACTCCTAATCTTCTTGTGCAGGGAACAATGAAAGGAAGCAACCTACAACGGTACATGGATAGTGGTTGCTCAAAGCATACTGGAAGTACAAATGATTTCCTTTCACTAAAGGCCCTGCAAGGAGGGAGTGTATCCTTTAGGAATGGCAAGAAGGGATACATTCTAGGAGTTTGAAGGATTGGGAAGTCTCTCTCTCACTCAATCAAAAATGTGTACTACATGAACGGCTTGAAGTACAGCTTACTAAGCATTTCCCAAATTTGTGACAAGGGAAACAAAGTCGAGTTTGTGTCAAAAATCTGCACAATGAGGAACCTGGTTACAGGTGAGGTGGTGCTCGTGGCAAAAAGATACAAGAATATCTATGCAACTAATTTTTAGTCGCTGAAGAATGGCGATTTAAGTTGCCTAAGCGTTGTTGATAATGATACTAAGCTATGGCACATGAGGCTAGGTCACGCAAGCTTCACATTGTTGAACAAATTAGTAAGGAAGGACCTAATTCGTGGTCTGCCCAAATCAAGCTTCAAGGATCACAAAGTGTGTTATGCATGTGTGAAAGGGAAGCAAGTCAGATCTTCGTTCAAGCCCAAAAAAGAAGTCAGCGCCGCAAGGCCACTCGATCTCCTTCACATGGATCATTGTGGACCTATGAGGGTGCCGAGCAGAGGAGGAAAGAAGTACATCTTTGTAATTGTCGATAGACTATTCCAGATTCACCTAGACCTTGTTCCTTAGGACCAAGGATGAAACCTTTGAAGTGTTTGTTGCCTTTGTCAAAAAGATCCAAGTGAAGATGGGTAATAAAGTAGCCTCCATCAGGTCTGATCATGGGACGGAGTTTGACAATGCGAAGTTCGATGAATTCTGCACCAAAATTGGATCACTCATAATTTTTTTGCTCCAAGAACACCTCAACAAAATGGTGTTGTGGAAAGGAAGAATAAAACTCTTGAAGACATAGCAAGAACAATGCTAATTGACAGTGGGATCGCAAAATATTTCTGGGCAGAAGCTGTCAATAGTGTGTGTTACTTGGTAAACAGGTGCATGATCCGGTCCCTTCTGAACAAAACTCCATATGAACTGGTGAATGGAAGGAAGCCCAAGCTGACACATCTAAGAACTTTTGGGTGTAAATGCTTTGTTCATAGCAATGGAAAGGAAGCTCTTAGGAAGTTCGATGTCAAAAGTGATGAAGTAATCTTCCTGGGATACTCATCTCAAAGAAAGCTTACAAAGTCTACAACAAAAGGACTCAATGTGTAGAAGAAAGCATTCATATGATCTTTGATGAAGCTCACCTCTCCTGTGAAAAGGACAAACATATTGATCAAGATGGAGAGCCCTTATCTATGCCAGGTGAAGTAATTGACATGGCAAATGGAAAGGCAGACATAATGAGCCATGTCAAGGAATCAGTGAAGAAGATGCAAATACATCTCCATCAATTGGAGAGGAACCTGGTCCCTCAATTACAACAACTGAAGCAGAAAACACGGTTGTTGATGCAGTCCAAGGAACCCCACTCTGTGAAGTAAGAAACGCTCAAGAATCCCAGTCAGATGTGCCTGGTTCCTCAACCAATGATACTCAGGCACCAAATTGGAGGTTCAAAAGCTCACATCCTCTTGACAACATAATCACTCCTCTTGACTCAGGAGTTCAAACCAGATCAAAACCAAGGAACTCACTTGCCTTCTCAGCTTTTCTTTCCCAAATAGAGCCCAAAAATATAAAGGAAGCGCTAAAAGATGCAGACTGGATCACAGCCATGCAAGAGGAGTTGCATCAATTTGAAAGGAACAAGGTATGGCACCTGGTTCCTCGACCTGCTGATCGAACCATTATAGAAACCAGGTGGGTATTCAGAAACAAGCTTGATGAGTTTGGAAATACAATAAGAAACAAGGCAAGACTTGTGGTTCAAGGCTATAATCAGGAAGGAGGGATTGATTATGATGAAACATTTGCTGTTGTAGCTCGAATGGAAGCCATTAGAATTCTGATTGCCTTTGCATCTCATATGGAGTGCATTTCTAAATGGCTATTTAAAAGAAGAAGTCTATGTCAAGCAGCCTCCTGGTTTTGAGTGTCACGAACACCTTGATCATGTGTTTAAACTATATAAGGCATTGTACGGGTTAAAAGAGGCTCCCAGGTCTTGGTATGAAAGATTGTCAAAATTCCTTATGGAAAACGACTTTGCAAGAAGGAAGATTGACAACACTCTTTTCCGAAAGAAACGAGGGAGGAACCTACTCATTGTTCAGGTGTATGTCGATGATATCATCTTCGGAGCCATAGCTGACTCTCTCTGCGAAGAATTTGCTAAACTCATGGGGAGTGAATTTGAGATGAGTATGATGGGAGAACTGAATTTCTTCCTAGGACTTCAAGTGAAGCAATCTAAGAAAGGAACATTGATAAGTCAACAAAAGTACATCAAGGAGCTGCTGAAAAGGTTTGATATTGAAGCCTCACGCCCATTGCAACACCTACTCGTCTAGACATAGATGAACCTGGTACCCCTGTAAACCAAACCATGTATAGAGGAATCATAGGGTCACTATTGTATCTCACTACAAGCAGACCAGACATTGTTTTTAGCGTGGGTCTCTGTGCAAGGTTTCGATCCAATCCAAAAGAATCTCATCTGAAGGCTGCCAAGAGAATAATGAGATATCTCAAAAGAACACAGGGCCTGGTCCTCTATTATCCTTCAGGAGACAGTTTTGATCTTATTGGGTATGCTGAAGCTAATTATGATGGATATCTGGTGGACAGGAAAAGCACTTCTGGGATGGCACACTTCCTGGGTTCCTACTTAATCTCATGGGGTACAAGGAAGCAAAATTCTATGGCACTTTCAACTGCAAAAGCTGAATATGTAGTAGTTGCCTCTTGCTGTGCTCATCTTTTGTGGATCAAGCAACAATTGGAAGATTTTGGAGTATTCTCAGACTGTGTGCCTCTCTTATGTGATAATACTAGTGCACTCAACATGGTGAAAAATCCGGTTCAACATAAGAGGACAAAGCACATTGATGTACGTCACCATTTCCTCAGAGACAATGTTGAGAAAGGGCTTATATGCATGAAATTCTACAGCACTAAAGACCAAATTTTAGATATATTTACCAAGGCCCTGAGCAGAGAACACTTTGAGCAAAATCGCCTAGCATTGGGGTTGATAAAACCCAATTGAGAACCTGGTCCCTCAATGATTGGCTATGAAAGAAAGGTTCAGGTAAACTTAGCTAAAAGGTGTTTTCTGGTAAAGTCTAACTCATCTCTATACCATTACAGGTAGACACGCTTGATGATTATAGAGCAAATAAGCATTTGAAGTTGTACACTGGTAAAAAGGGCAAAGCTTACAGACAAGAGATCAATCAGGGAACCTGGTTCTCCTGACATTGGTTAGTAGTTTCTATGTTCTCTCATGCACAATTCTGAACAATCAAAACAAGTGCCACATCATCAGCTTGTCAGCATTTAGTTTGCATTTTTTAAACCCAAACGCCTCACCAGTTATAAGATCGACCCATCTCCCTAAGACCTGCCGCCCTTTTTCTAACCAATCCCTCTATCATCATAAATACATCTATTTCCATCACCACACTTCACACATCAACACTTCCAAACCTGTTCCTTGTCCTTTCTCTCTTCAGGTCACAAAATCTTTTCCTCCTTTCACCATGGCTGAAGATAAATCGATCTCTAGTACTATCGAGTCCTCACCAGTCGAAACATCCGCACCAGTCTCTCCTCCTCACACTACTGATAACCAAAACCCTTGAACAGAGTCACCCCCACCCTTCATCTCCTCTCCTACCCATTTAAGTTCCTGCTCTCTCAAGAGTTACCCAGCATCAACTCTCGCATGAGGTGTTGCTCAGAGCTCATCTCTCACCTCGCCAAAAAAGAGGGATGTCACGAATATTAGTGGGAATGAAGGAAATCAAAAAATCTCAAGTTCTCCTATAGAAGAAAAGTCAAAAACAGACCAAGTTGAGAGAAATAAAGTCATCGACTCAACAGAGACTGCTCCCGAACCTCAGTCCACAGGTGCCTCTCCTATTTCTCCTAAGCCTCTCATGAATGTGCAAGAAAAGGAAGCAATCGAAAATATGTTGTCCATCGTATTTAAAGGGGTTTAATGTCGGAGGAAGTGAGGATGGTCTTATGACTCAGGGGGAAACATCTGAACCTGTTGAGGAGGATAGTGAGCGTGTGCCTGTTGATCCTTCGGCATAGGAAGATACTACTGGGGAACCTGTTAAAGGACCTGATCCGCCTTCAGTTTAGGAACCTCAGGTCAGTACTGACCCTGCTCCCACTCCTCGTTTAGATATTGAGCCTCTGAATGTAATCATGCCTGAGACAGGTCCTGCATCTGGCAATCAAAAGGAGAATAGTGAGGAAGATTTTGATGACTTACCAATCTCTAGTCTGCTTGGGCGAAGAGTAGCTGTTAGTGAAGAGCCCACTTCTAAGCAACCCACAACAAGGTTGCAAAAGAAGGAGGCTCTTGATTCTGCTCTTAAGAACAGTCAGACAAAATCAAGGACGAGACAATTAGTGAAAGATGGCAAAGTTGTAAATGAGGAGTTAGTTCCTGTTGTGAGTGTGGATCAAGAAGAAGAGGAACCTAGTACGTTGACTAGGAAGTTGTCACAAAAGCATGTTCTTCTCAAACCAAAAAGGAGATCTTCAGTGTTTTTGGAACGTCGCACTAGGCTTACTGATGCTGCTGCTACTGAGAATATGGAGAAAGACTCGGGTGAAAAGTCTACAAATTCTGATAACAAGAAAAAGGGTATCCGCAAGGCTGCTTAGAGAAAGGCTGATACTACTGGTGAACCTGGTTCCTCAAAGAAGACCAAGGTTGATGATCCGCAAAGTGCTTGGAAAGAAAGATTGAGAAGTCAAAAGGCACTATGGGGGCGTACATGCGCCTCTGATGTCTTGGAGGAGGCTGATATGAGACAGTTGGTTGAGATCTGCGATTTCCAACAATGGACACATTTGTTCACAGGTGATGCTACTAGGGTATATG